GGGTCCTTGCTGTCCTGATTTCCTAAGCTGATGACCTGCCTGTCACACATACATTGGCTTCCCTCCCCTGCTCACCCCCCCCCCAGCTTGGGGAACACCTAGCTAGGTAGTACCCAGCAAGAATCTGGAAGCAGGAGGGGGCTCTCACCACCTCACCCTAAATAGTGCCTGGGCCTAGGTTCCTTTGCTCCCAGACAAGAGTGGTGGGAGCCAAGGATCATGGGCACAGGGGCCAGGGAGCTCTTTCGGACCCAGCAGCCAACAAGCCTTCTATCCAGCATTGCCCACCCCCACCCCACCCCCAACTCCTCTTCCCTTACCGGGAAAGCCTCGGGCTGAGGAGCAAGCTAGCAGGAGCAGAGGCACCCGGCCCCCCCATCCTGTGGCTGTGGGTCGCAGTTTCCCCTTCCTCTGGCTGCTGCTGCCTGGACTGTTCCAGCAATCAGCGGTGAAGCCCAAAGCCCCCACAAAGGTGTGAGACTCCAACCTCCCCTCGTTGCAAAAGCCGCTGTATTTCTGCTTACATTTCGATTTGCTACCAAGACCAAGCCTCGAGAAGAGCAGTAGGAGGAGAATAAAAGTACTTCTGGGAAGAGTGTGCCCGCCTCGCGGCTCACTCTCTGGAACGAAAAGTGCAGGGCTCTTGCCTGAGCACTGCGTTTCCAAGTTTCGCTGACGGGATTTTAATTCGCTGTCCCGCCGCCCTCCGAAAGCGGTGCCCACGCCGCCCTCCGAAAGCGGTGCCCACCGCCTGGGTTCGTTACTGGGGTAGTTCCTTGAGCACCGAGAGTTCTCACTGGCCCTGGGCGCTTTGGAGTCTGCGGGAAAACGCGCTGTCTAAGGTCGCCCCACTCAAGAGACGCCACGGTCTCTTTTGAAATTTTGAACAATCTACAAACTTAGGCTTCCTGCCCTGCGCTTTCTTGTCACGTACACACACACACACACAACGCGTACATGAGCTTTGTCTTGACCGGATGGAAGTTAATAAGAGCCGTGCCCACGCAGAACAAGTCTCCAAGCGGTCCACCTAACTGTGCGCTTCACAGCATGTAAATTATAATAATGGAACAGTGTCCCGATCGATGGGCTGGTGCGGATAGGAGACCTTGCTTTCACTCCTGTTTTTCTATGGAAGAACTTATATGTGTTTAGCCAGACTGCTCAGATGGGCTGGCGGCTGGGGAAGTTACCGAAGTACCAAGAGAAAAGCACCTTCCTTCTCCATATCCTCCTCCAGAACTGACGGGATCCCCCAAATCTAGCTGCTGCTCCGAGTTTTCTTTCCGCCCATCATCCCACAACCACCCTCAGCTTTTTCAGCTTTTGTTGTTTTCCTTTTGGATGTCTTTCATACGAAACACACACACACATACACAACAAACCCAAAATAACAACCCAAAAACCCAAAACAACTTCCGAGTTGTTTGATAAAATTCGAGTTGGACCCGGGAGGAGTTTACACATTTTGTGGTGTGGGGATTGTGTCGGTGTGGGGAAATAAATACCCCTAGCGTTCACACACTGAGTCTAATTCAACAAATCAGGACCAGCCCCACAGCAGTGCCCCAGGGGTCTCCGAACTGGCCCTCGATTTGGGGAGATCTCGGCGCTGAAAGCGCTGTCTTGGGGGGCAAAGCGTGTTCTAGAAGGTAGGAATAAGCTAGCGACAAGAACCTGCGTGCACCGAACCGAAAGCGAAAGAGGAGGGAGCCAGGCCGCTCCCTGCAGCATCCCGGGGCCATTGGCCCAGGCCTGGCCCCGGCTGGGCGTGGAGGTTCACTGGTCCGCACCGATTTGAAGATAAGGCAGGGAGCACCCACCTACCGGCCCAGAAGAGGAGGCTCTTCTGGCCGCTGGGAAAGGTCGGGTGTCCATTTCGCTGTGTCTCCCGGTGACCCTCAGCTGAGGACCGCCCAGGGAAGCAGGGGTTTGGGAAGAAGGATGAAGTAAGGATTGGGAGCCTCGCGGGTCGGGTCGGGACTTAGGCAGGCAGCGGCGAACCCGGTGGAACTATCCTGAGGTCGCCAGCGTCTTTGCACCCGAGGGGACTGAGGGGTCTTCCTTCTCGTTAGTTCGTTGCTCTTTTAGTACGTGCTTGGGACTGGGGACCTTGGGCAAAGTACTCTGCTTTCTGGGAGGAATTCTCACCTCTGGGGAAACTCAGAAGAACCGGCCAGGCGGACTGGAAACTCGGGCGCTCCTTTACCCTGAGTCTACCCCGCGGCGCGCTCTCTCGGGCTCTGGAAGCCCACCCTGTGTGTCCTCACAACTACACCCCGCAGGTTGGAGGTCCCTTGGACACTAAAGGTAGCTCCTGGGGCTAAGGTCTGCAAAGGGGCCTCAGAACCCCTCCTTTCTCCGGCCCCAGACCAACCAAGAGAGCTGGGAAGGAGTTTTTCCAGGCGGTCGCTCTCTGAGGCTGGGACTCACGTCAGCGCCTAGGCAGTCTCAGCTTCTGAGATTTCCAAGCTCCAGGGAACAACTTGAGGCTTAAGAAAAAATGGGCCTTATTTCCCCGTTTTGAGTACATAGTCTCAAAGTACTCAACTTTGAGGAACTTATCGGGGTGTGCCTCACTTTTCCTGCTAGCTGGAAGTCTGGACAGCCAGCTGTGGAGGGGCTGCATCCAGCTGCCTCTGTGAGGGGCAGAGACCCACTGCTGGTGACTCGGTTTCCTCATCCTGAACCTAAGTTGACGGATCTTTTTTTTTTTCCACTGGAGCCAGACTCCTGGCTAGGGAAATTCAGCTGCTCTGAGGAGGAAAGAATAAGAAGAGCTGCTTTGCCTTGAGTGGTGCCTTCATATTGGAAAGCCAGGGAGTAGGGTCCTCTCAGTGATCCCAGGCTGTCTTTTGTCCTAACCTGCAGGCTTTGTTCAGAACCATCTGGACAGGGGTCTGCCTTGTCCTCAGAATTGGTGCTCACAGGTTTCCAGTGAGACAGAGGTTGTGACAGAAATAGGGAAGAGGCTCTAACCCTCTGTGGGGAGACACTATCTGTGGGCAGACACTACCTAATGGGGCCTTACAATGATCACCCCAAGTGCAGAGGAGAAAGGGGGGAGGTCTAAGAACAATTGCTCTTAGGTCATACTATGCATTAGAGCAGTCCTAGGTCAAGTGGCCTGGCCTTGCCCTCTGACCCAGTGGCCTATTAGGAAGTTCCCAGCAGGGCTCAAGAGGGTGCTGAGAGGGAGGGTGCTCCCTCCTGACCTGAATGTTCCTCACAAGGTTGGAACTCACTTGGGGCTTCTCCTTGCTTGTTATCCTGTCTTCCTCACAAGACTCACTGGTGAATTGCTTTAAAACATGACAATCTAGTGACTCTTTCCCAGTGAATCCTCTGGCTTGGAACAGTGAGCCCCCCCAGTCTGTGACTTGAGCCCCCCAGTCTGTGACTTGTTCTCCCCTGATCGTCCCAAATGACAGAGATCAGGAGAGTCAGGAAGAGAGAGCCTGAGTGCCTGGGGCTGGCAGGCCCCGCAGGTGGGCAGCCAGTTAATGGCAGGAGGAGCACCTGTGTGAGTGTCTGCCATCCAGAGCTTGACCTCACTGCAACAGGAATGTGCACCGAAGTGGAGCAAGTGGGGAAAGGCCACGGGGCCTTTCTAAATCTGCTCTCAGCACTGTCCTGTCCCATGGGTTTGGCTATGTGGGTACCTACAGTATGACCATGTTGGTTCACGAGAAAGGGTGCTTGTGTGTGTAGAATGCAAGTGTAGACAGAGAAAGTAGGACTGTGTGAATGCTAATGTGTTTGAACAACCATCTATCAATAGTTCTGAGCCTGTGGAAGAGCCAGCTGGAGTGTGAGACGTGCTTTCCTAACACTGTTCCTGCTCTGTTGTTCCAGCTAGGAAGGCCTCCACCATATCCCACCGCTGTCCTCAGGGCTGGTATCTCTCATTCAGCCTGGGTCAGCACAAAGCCATTGCCTTGCCAGGATCAGCTCTTCCCCTCCAGAACCCGGCAGAATGGCCAAGTAGGGCAATGTGTCCTCAGGGCCCGACAGGGATCCCCGTTTCCTCAGTTTCTCTCCCTGCCGCCGTGGGCTGGTCACTCTGGATTATGTGGAAGGGAAGGCCCAGCCTACTGAGGTGCTCTGGCCTCCGCTGCCCTTCAGCCCCTCCGCTCTCTCCTTCACTATGGTGGCTGCTCTCTGGAAGCCCAGGCCCTGAGCAGGGACTTTCGTCCTACAGACACGTTCAAGGGGGCTTGGAGGTCATTTAGGCCTCAGGTTCACGATGGGCCCAAATCCCTACCCAGCCGGGGCTGCCTTGAGCTCAGCGGCTTCCAGCCGTTCTTCCTGGGTCGTCCTAAAGAATTGTCCCCAGTTCCTTCTCCTCCAGGGCTCTGGGAGAGAGAGCCGCTGGGAAACTGTTCGCCTGTCTCCCCTCCAGGAGCCTCGTCCAGGAGCCCTGGGATACGTGTCTTCCTCAGCCCCTGGAGTTTCTGGGTCCGCACGGTTGTGGCGCCCCAGCACCTCGTATCCCGGGCGCGCCCGCAGACTGCGCTCGGGGTTCCCAGCCGGACTCCGCACCTGCCACGCTCCCACCTGCGGCGTCGCCGCCGGGGAGCCTCCCAGCGGGCGGCAGCGAGGCCTGAACCCCCCGGAGCACCGCTTCGGAGCTGCGCCGCCAGCGCGTCCCACCACGCGCCTGGAGTCGGTGCGAAGCTTCTGCTTCCAAGCCGGCCGCGCGGGGAGCGCGAGGCGAGAGGTTCGGGAGCCCGGCGAAGGCCGGCGGAGGCAAGCACAGGTCGGGCGCAGGAGCCCAAACACTGCGCTCTTGCCCGGGTACACGAACGGGGCAAAAACGGATCCCTGGTTGCCTTCGGGGCGGCGGATCCCCACTTTCCGACCCGAGTCGTCGCCCGCGGCTCTGCCCTGCGCCTCCCCAGCCCGCCAACTCCTGCCTCGCAGAAGCCGAGACGATTTCCCGGGTGCCTAAGCCACGGGTTCGGGGGCCCCAGCCCCGAGGAAGCCTCACGTGCACTCACCGTAGCAGGGGACCTGCAGGGCCGCGTTGTGAGCGCCGCTGCCTTCCTGGAGCTTGAGGTTGCCGTCCGGGGGCGTCTTGCAGGCGCCTCGCTGCAAGTACAGATGCGGTGGCTGCGCAGACGGCTGCGGCTGCGGCTGCGGCTGCGTCGGCGGCGGTTGCGGGGCGGGGGGCGGCTGCTGGGGCTGGGGCTGCGGCTGGGGCTGGGGCTGGTACTTGTTGAAGGAGCCCCTGGCCCCGGCGCCGCTCTCCAGGGGTGCCGCCAGGTCCTGCTGTCCCGCGCTGTAGCGGGCCCGGGTCTTGGCGTCCCCAAAGCCCTGTCCTTTCGCCGCGGCCGACAGGAAAGTTGTGCCGAACTTCTCGCCGCCGGGGTAAGCCCTAAAAGGCGAGGAGCCCTCCCGGCTCTGCGCCACCGGGCTGTAGTAGGCGTCCATGGCAGCAGCCGGCGAGTCGCAGTAAGAGACGCAAGTCTCAGCATTCATGCCTGGCGTCCGCGGGCGGCGGGCGGGGGGCGAGCGAGAGCGCGAGGACGCCACCGCGCGCCGGGCCGGGAGTTTGGAGAGGCGAGGAGGGGCGGCTGTGCGCTCCTCGCCGGCCTGCTCACGCTCCCTCCTCCTCTCCTCACGCTCCCTCCTCCCCTCCTCCCTCCACCTCTCCCCCCCCCTTCTCTTTCTCCTTTCTCTCTCCTCGCTCGCTCTCTCTCTTTCACTCTCCTCTCTTTTACTCTCTTCTCTCTCTTTCACTCTCTCTCTCCCTCCTCCTTTCCTTACAGCTGGCCCAGAGAAAGAACGGAGGGCTGTAAAAAGATTCAGACGTTTCCGAAAGTTGACCAGAACTCCCAAACCCTCTTAAGGTTGGGGTGGGGGTGGGGGGAGAGAGTGATCTTTCCCTCTAACTCGCTCCTTCCTTCTCTCCTCCTCCTCTTCCCTGCTCTCCCTCCTCCGCCCCTGCCCCTTCTTCCCACTCTTGAGACAGCGCTACTAACTCGCTGGCCCGGGATTCGACCGGCCGCGCCCGGGGGTCTTTTCGACTCAGACCCGGCCGGGGAGGTGTCAGTACTCCCTGAGGCCGCACTGAACTGGAGGGTCCAAGCTTTGGTTCAGGGAAGGCAGGCACACAAAGCTTTAGAGACTGACCGAAAATAAAATAAAATAAAAACCCAAAACACTAACAGGCTTTGACATTCGGGCAGGCGGACCGCTCGTTTTCGGGTGCCCGAGTGGCGTGTGGACTCTTCTGCGAGAGGCTGGCTGTGCCTTTCCCTCAGCGTTTCCAGCCCCTCTCCTCCGTCCCAGTTCCTCCATGAAATTAACCCGCGCGTGCACGCAAGCCGCTCTGGTCCGGTGCACCGCCACTTTCACGTCTCGTTAACTATTTCCTCCCCCCGTAAGAGCGCTGCGGAGGGAGCCTTGTTCACTCAGCCACTGGAGAACCCCCTCGACCGGGTCGGCTTCCGAAGCTTTAGAGCGCTGTCCCCACCCCTCTTCTCTGCTCCCTGGACCGAGCGGTTCGCGCTGCACGTCTTGTTCAGCCGCGTGGATTTTCCGGCCGGCGGGTTGAGAGTGAATTGTCTGGAAACCACGTCGCGAGTCACCTGCTTGCCGCCCGGGGTGGGGTGGGAGGCAGTATTTTCTCTCTCTGTCCTCACTGCCCCCGACTGTAAAACGAATGGTTTGGATTTGATGGATTGTGGTCTCCCTCGCCCAGCCCATGCGCGGCTCAAAGTCCCAGGACGCATACAGCGAGGGAAAAATAACTTTGACCGCGCATCGCGCCCCTTCTACGCCGCTCGTCATCGAATGCGCCTCAATAACCGTAAGTGGTGGAAACTGGGGTTCCAATTTTTTTTTAATGCAAACTGAGGCTCAGAGAGGTTTGGGGATGTAGCAGCGCCAGCGTGTGCCTCCATGGACCTGGGCTGGCACAGTAGATCTCGATAAAGCAAAGAATAGAGGTCACCCGCTGCGGAATAACTGAGTTGAAGGGGACTCGTTAGAGTCTTTCTTTCCATAAACTGCAGGGAAATTGCTAGGATGGAGGACATACCTCAAGGGAGTCTGGGAATGGGGTGAGAGGTGAAGGGGCAACGAAAAGGGCCTGAGCTCCTTGAACCCAGGAATGTGGGTCAGAAGTCAATTTCTCAAACCAAAAGTGTGTGTTGGGGGTGGGGGGCATTATGCTCCCACCGCCTACCTCATCCGGGCTAATCCTCATCCCCCCACCCCACTCCCTTGGTATCTCGACTCCTCGCTCTGCCCGGGACTATGCGATCCCACATCTGGTTTCCATCGCGGCTTACCTTGAAGTGCTCGTTAATAAAGATATTCCGCAAACCTTGGGTGGGGGTGCACAGGCCCGAACCTCTCTCCACTGCCCATGGGGACCCATGCCTCTCTGGCCTTGCAGACCAAAGGCACGGTGAGGACTTTATACTGAATGTATATAGTGCTGGAAGCCATTCGCAGGTCACACTCCCAGGTCAGCCTCACGGGCTGCCTGGCGACACACTCCTTGTCATACCCATTTTGCAGGTGAACACACTGAAGCTCAAAGAAGCCAACTCGTTTTTCTAACCTGGGCAAAAAGTGGAAGAAGCTGCCACCATCCTAAATACTCCGTTTCTTTCAGTGTTTAGAATCTGCCGAGTCCTTTCTCCCCACCTCCACCAAGCACATAGCACAGGTGTCCTCTGGACCTGGAATTATCAGTCTTGCTCTTATAATTTTGTTGTGCTACAAGTTAGAGGTTCAGTCTAGAGAAGCTTCCTCCAGGAAGCCTTCCCATCTCTCCCCACCTCTATCCTGGACTTCCTGGTTGTCCAGCTGCTGGGTTCCATGTGCATTTCCACTGCACCAACTGGAGTGCCCAGGAGGGCAGTGTCTGCCATGTCTGGTGCACCCCAATATTTGCATAATAAGATATTGAGGTTGGGGCTACCGTGCTCTGGGTTCCTTCTACGGCCCAGGATGGAGCTGGTTCCCAGTGTCTTTGGTTTCCTCCAGCCAAGGATAAGGAGGGGGCTCTCCTTCTCCACCCCCACTTTATAAATCCAAGGACAAGATTAAGGGCTTGAGGTCCTCTCCGCACTTAGCTGCATAGGAACAGCGAATTCTCTCAGAGCAGGGGCCAGGCCGATCTTGTTGATCACAGGGCTGGGCACATTGTGTCTCTCAAATAATATGTTGAATGAATGAATGAAAATGCTTGTGGCCCAGGGGCTTAGGCGCACATTTTGGCCTAGGAGTGCCAAGCTAAGTGAGCTCACTACTCCGGTGCCAAGCCTCACAGCTGGCTGCCAGCACCCCGGTGGTGGAGGCATTCCAGGTATCAGCCTGAACATGGGGGAAAGAAAGAAGTAAATGTACTGGGAGGTGATGGGAAACCAGCTTGCCACTTCCCCACTCACCCACACATTAACCTACTCCTTGCTTCATTATCACCTCCTTATTCTACCTTTCCCTTCCCCCTTTGGGATTTCAAACCCTGAGCACTGTGCTTTGAAGCAGTGGATGTCCTCAACCAGAATCCCTTCTGGTGCTGAGTTCTTCTGTTCTGGGAAATGGCTTAAGAGCATCCAAGATTTCTTACACCTGACAGGTAGACACTGTGTGTGTGTGTGTGTGTGTGTGTGTGTGTGTGAGTTTCTCTGCTACCCCATGGGAACACGGGGGGGGGGGTATCATTTGCCTAACAAAAGCCTTTACCCCCCCTTGCATCCCCTTAGCACGCTTTCTGGGAGAAGGCTAATAAGTATAGCTGATTATTTCATTGCTTCCCCCCCCATCATTCAATCCCTTCTTCCCTCCAAAGTGGAAAGTCTGGCCACACCCATCACTCCCATCCAGGGTACAGTGTCCTCTTCTGGCTGCAGGCCTCTGAGGATTCTGTCCTCAGCCTCTGCTCTCCAGGCTCATTCTCACTACTGGCTTCCCTGGGTTGGCCGGTGTCTCCTTGGGGACAAGCCCAGCAGGAGCTGCACAGTGCACTTTACACCACTGCTTACTGTGTTGGGGGCGGGTCAGCAGGACCCTTTGTTTCCAGTCTTGTACCCTCAGACTGCTCCTTTCTCTCCCCTTTTCGAATCTTCTGAGTCTGTCTGAAAGCAGCTTCCCTCTTCCTCCTGGCTCTGCACACAGCCTGGGAAGGCAGAGCGGTGAAAAAAAGTCTTTCTTTGTTGAGTGTCCAATGCCCCACCCCACTCACCTTCACCCCCCCCCTCGCCACACTGCTGTCACACCTGCCTGTCTGTTTCCTCCATGACATCTACCTGGTGTCATCTCCCATATTTGTTGATTTACTTGACTTATGTCCGTCTCCCTACTAACATGGGAATCCATGGCCACTTCTCCCCAGTGTGAAGTGCAGTGCTTGAACATATCTGCTGAATTGAATGACTGAGCAAGTGAGTTGATACGTGAGTGAATACCTGATTATCAGAAGCATTGGCTGGAGGTAACTGTCTACCTCATGGCTCAGAGCTGGAGGTTTTGAAGCCAGGAGTGGGGATTTGAGTTTGTTAGATAGAAAGTTCCAGATGGAGAAAGGCACAGTAGATACTCCTTTTGGTCAGAGAGAGAGGTTCTAGGAACTCCCCTCCACACCCACCCACCTGCCCTGTTAGACAAACAGTGAAGCTGGATGCTGGGGTGTTCTCCAGCTCCAGGTGGGCAGGACTGCGTAAGTAAAACTCGGGCTATTCTGACCTGAACCAATGTGTACAATGCCAGACTCACATTTACTGTCAAAGTTTACTCTGTCAATGGCAGGAGGTAACACAATCCTCTCCCAAGGTGGGGGTTGCCTAAAAGACTGGGGACACCAGCAAAGAGATACAGAAGAGTAGAGATATGAAGCTGAGAGGCCAGGAACCCCAAACATATCCTGTAGGAGCTCTCCTACCCGGCAGACACTGAGACACCAACCTCAAGCTTAGGAAATAGCACGTTAGTAACTGTGTATGGGAAACCGCTACAAGTCAGCTGCTGCAAAAGAGACCTTTGCAGTCCTCACAAAAGCCCTCTGGTGGTACCCTTATCCTCCTTTTACGATGATTAAAATATCGAGCAGAGAAGTGAAACGACTGTTTAAGGCTAGTCCAAGCAGAGAACGTGGGACTTAACGCCCGTGGTCTGATCTCGGAACCCAGGCTCCCAACCACCGAGCCATCTCAAGGGTGTCTGCCACTTCACCCAATTCTGAGACCTCTGTGGGGAAAGGCGGATCGAAAGGTTTCTGATCTCTCCCGGTCTGCAGGGCTCGCAAAGAAGCTTGGGTTTCTTAGCGCCGCTGGGCGTTACAGCGCGAGTGAGTCCGGCGGGATCTCGGAGCGCTGGCCAGCCCTGGCGGCGCGCGCGAGTCCACCGTGCCCTTCGCGGGCGGCGGCCGAGGTCGCAGAGCGAGAGGTGGACAGGAACCGTCGGCGCCTGCGCTGGCACTAACATCTGCCTCCGGGTCTCTGGCCGGATCCCGGGACGCGGACGCCGTGCGCCTGTCTGCGCTGGGCTCAGCGCCCTAAGCGCCCGTGATG